GGGAGGGGAAAATTCCCCCTCTACCCTTCTTGCATCCTTATGGCTGGACTACTTGACACAGGACCAGATTAGCAAGAGAAAAATTAGTTTAATACATGTGCACTGCAGATCATAAATGATGCCCTCAGAAATGATGTACCAGCCAGCTTTTCATACTTTTCAGACCAAGGGACAGTAAATTTGTGAAGAAATGACAGGACAATGATACTTAGGTGTGGGTGCTCATTAGTAAGGACTCTACACATTTGGGCTTGTGTAGTAAATTAATAAAGGAGCGACAAGGGTTTGTGTAGGCTTTTTGGCCTGGATTTCTTAGCTCTGATGATGAGGGTGTCTCGCCAGCCCTGCTGGAGCAAGGACACCTTCACAGGGGAGGTTTATTTCTGCATTCACAGAGGCAGGAAGGGATCAATGTGCCCTTCTTGCACTGACTGTTTATCAAGTAATTTAAAATCAAAGTAATCAATGAGCCATTGTGGGATATTTGGGGGGAGCCTTCCCTGGACCCCCACACTGCCAAGTGAAAGTGGTCAGTGTTGTGGGGAGCCAAGTATTGCAGGTTATGTGGGGTCTTCGATTCCACACCTATAACATTAATAATAGCTTATAATTATTGTAATAATTATTATAATTATAATAATGGCTTCCTCGTGGAAGGGTGGGCTTCAGTTAATGCACATCAGCTTTTGCAGCTTACACAGTGTGTGCTTGGTAACTGTTGGCTGCTGCTGTTACGCTGCAGAAATGCTGGGCGGTGAGATCTGAGAGGGCAGACACAGGCAGTGGGCCTCAGCCTGAGATCCACACCTTTGAGCAGGTTGACCTTTAAAGGCTCTGGAGTTCTGCGAGATTAGAGTATGTACCTGACCTGCATTCCCCTCCCATCTCATTTCTTCCTTTCCCTGCTTCCTGCATCCACCATCGCAAAGGATTGCCACCTGGAAAGTTTTCCCTTCTTAATGTGTCCTTCGAACTTATGTTTCCTCATCTGAATTGCCCTGTACAGTAGCTTTGCAATTCTTAGGTAGGTAGCCTCCTCAGTAGCTTACTCTGCCTCTTAGAACTGCAAATGTAATTAATAATGCAGACATTAATGTGAAATAGAGGCCATAATCCCTAACTGAAAAATTGTTTGGCTCAAATAGAAGGTACATTTATAAAGCTAGCCCAGTGTCAGAGTACCAAACCATTGTACAGGTGCTCAGTTAGCATTGCTGCCTTCCCCTGACCTTCCATTTCTTTGTCCTCTCTTATTGTGCATCTCTATCCATATTTTGGCCTCTTTCTCTCATCTGGAAAATTGTAATAACCTTTTTACTGGTGTTCCTTATCCTAATTTCTCCTCTCTCCTACTCCAAATGAATTCTCACTAGGTTACAAATTTGTGAATAAATGTTTTGTTTTTAAAAAGAAGAGGAAGAAGAAAGAACTAGAGAATCTGTTTTTGGCAACATGATGGCCTACACATTCTGAAACTCTTCCATTATAAAACATCTGAAAGTAATACAACATTTTTAAATCTAGGGAAGTAAGCTAACTCTGGGGATACTAAAACCCTCAAGGCATCTCTGGATTTGGGGGCCCAAGGAGGAGGACTGAGATATAATTACAGCTTTTATGTAGTACAAAGGGACAAAAAGATAGAGAGTATGAAAGAGCATGGAGTGAGTGAGATGTTAGAGTGTCTGAGGTTACAATGATGGACACAATGGAGGAGAGACAATATTCAAAGATGTAAGGACTAGTGTGTTGGGAAATGATACAGAGGAAACCTAAAGACCAAGTGGGATAAATGAAAAGAAAACTATACTTAAACATTACATTTGCACTCAAGATTGATATCCCAACAATGACGAGAGCCAAAAGATAGCAAAATAATGTCATAAGAAAAAGTAGTTGTCCACCTAGAATTTTTAATGAAATAAAAACATTTTATATGAACAAAAGTATGAAAATATATACTACCAAAAGATTCTCGCTAAAAAAGGGTCTCAGTATAGCTTTTAAGAAATACTTGAAAATGGCCTACAAAAATCCATCTCAGGTACAGAAAGCAGTAATGAATAAAGCTAATAGAAAGATTGAGAGTAAATCTAAACAGACAATGGTAGTTTATAGAAAAATAATGATGTCCCTTTTAGTAGTTTTTATTTTTGTTTTTCTTAAGTAAAGTAATAAATGCCATCATCTAAGGTTGGAGGCAGATGATTAAAATATTTCAAGATTCTGGTATTTTTAAGAAGAAATAAAACAATCAATTATCTTTGGACTTTGAGTATTCATATTAGAAATGACCATGAAAGCATGGTCTAGTGCGTAAAATGGGATCTTTTGATTAAGCTCATTAACACCTTTTCAAAATAGACAACCAGATTTGTTAAAAATACATTTACCTACCAACTTCCTACCTCCTTATAAATAAAGCCTTTGAATAGGATACAATGGGATTCTAATAAATAATCTCCCTCATTATGTTCATTATGTAACTACAGTTAACAACTCTTTCCCCAATTGTATATACTTAATATGTGCTATGCAATCAGTTTTATCATTCTTCAGTCACCATTGTGAGCAACAATGCCCCTCATTCATTGGTGTTGAGCCCATGTGTTTAACACAAGGAGCCTCACCAAGGGAGCAAAGGCCATAGAGGCAGTGTGTGTGTGTGTGTGTGTGTGTGTGTGTGTGTATACCTGTGTGTCTGTAAGTGTGGCTTTAAAATCAGGGCAATTGAACCAGTCCCCAGAAAGCCTTCCCCAGCCTGCTCGAATGCTTACTGGTCCCTTTCTTCCCTGAATTCCACTTATTTATGCCCACACCATCTCATCTATAAAATAGAGGTAGTAATAGTACCTTACTTTTAGAATTATGGTGTGGATTCAGGGGGTGAATACATGTAAAGTCATGTAGAGCAGTGCTTTTATGGCACACTGGCTATATCCTGTTGAGCACTTCTAAGTTATCTTGTTAGGAGGATTGGTTGCTTGCTTTAAGTTTAAACAACGAAATTATTATTATCCAAAAACAAGATTAAGTTTGACATTTCTATGGGAGATGGAATGCAGTACAGGATTAAAGGTCATTGCATTAGCATTGGTCACCCCTGAGTGTCTTAAATCATGTTTCAGTTGAAGAGATCTTTGGGATCTGTTTCTAGTAGTTTTAGTGTGGGGATGACAAAGCTGTTACAGATTTTTGTGAACATGTGCATGGATTCATAGAGAGGAGATTTCTACTTGGATAGTAGAAAAGTAGACTTATAGGTCTTAGAACTGAAGGAATGCTACTATACTAGTTTTAGTGCTTTGGAGAAAGCCTTTAAAATAGAGGTCCTATATTTCTCTTATAGGAAACAAAAATGGTATATTCCTAAATTCCTTTCCAGCATTAGCCCCAGTGCTTTGCCTTAAGTTATGTGGATTGTCTAAGCAGCTGAAGTCCCAAGAGTTTGAGGGACCGGTCAGAGTTCCCCAGTTAGGGGTTGTGGCTGAGAGGGTAAGCTTAAGGCAAGGCCCAGGTCCCAGCTGGTCTGCTTTCTAGTCAGTTGCCTCTGCCACGCTGTGGCTCTGCTCTGCAGCAACACCCGCAGCCCAAGGTCACTTGTACTTCACTGTCCGCTATGTCAGCACTGACATGCATTGAAAATAGCCAGTATTTGTGATATATGATTCTATTTATGGTAGTTTTTTCCTTATAAAGGAGGTTATGGTAATTTCATGAGAATTTATTTTCAAATACACACTTTCAACCCTTACATAGGGAAAGCAGATGGGACAAAATGTTTTAATTTCCCCTGGAAACCTGCAGAGCGGATGTTTTGAGTCCCTTTGCCTCCAGGTGGCTAGCTCAGCATGGTGTTGGCAAGAGCACCGTGTTCCGTAGGTGGATATTCACCCACTTTCCAAACCTCAGAATTCTTGAGTCTTCAGTCAAAGGAGATTTAAAGGGTTTAAATCTTAAAAATAATGTACCTCCTAATTTAATCAGGCACCCAAGTTAAAAACAGTCTAAAGGCAGCCAAATAGTTGATAAAGGAATAAAGATAAGTAGCCCTTCCTACCTGTTTGGATAGGCATGTTTAGAAAAATGGCATGTCTATCCAAATTAAAATTAAGAATAAATAAACGTTTTGCTAATCTGTGCTTTTGCTTTGGGACAAGCTGGGGGGGAGGGGGCGGAAGGGGGAGAGAATTATATAGCTCAATAGAAAAATTCTACAGACTTTGTAGTCCAGGAAAATAGAAGGAAAAGGAATAGAAAGGTCTCTGAAAGAAAATTTCATTTGGAGAAATGTTATGAGAATGCCAGCTTTTGTGAATTCTAAAGATGAAGGATACCTGCTCTCAGGTCATTCACAGTCTCCTGAAAGAGAAACTTAGACAAGAAATTATGTTACAGAGCGGCAAACCCTGCAGCAGAGGTATTGCAGGTTGGCGTAGGACTAATAATAATTAAAGCTATAATCTGGTTGGTGAGTGTGTGGGGAAATATGCCAACAGGAGTCCTTTTATATTCTGAGGCTTTTTTCTTATGCTCCCTAGAAACTTCACCAAAACCATAAGGCTGTGGCACATGAGCCCGTTGAACATTCTCTTGAACTAATATGTATTTCCAGTGTGCTCTTTTGCTGTCCCAGTTTTTAAGTCCTCTCTGCTAGTATGCACACTGGAGAGCCATGCCCTCTGTGTTCAGATTCCTGCTTCCTCGTCCTTGTGGTGTGATCATTAGAGATTCCTTCTCTGTGCTTCAATTTTGCTAAAAGCAAGAGGCTTAGTACCTGCCTCTCCGGATTATTGTGATGACTAAATTCGATCACTCATGGAAAACATTTTTAGAATACTGCCTGTTACCTGGTAAAGCTCGAGAATGTTTTACTTCTCATTATTTGTTCTGGTAGCTAATAAACCAGGAGCATGTTGATCATTTAGGTTCTCTTTCCAAAATACTGATTTCTGTCAAATAAAATTTTCCTGTTTGTTTTGTTTTTTTTTCCTTTCTAGCTCCAAGAGGAAAGCGGGGATGGAAAACCTTTTATGCTGTACTAAAGGGAACAATTCTTTACCTGCAAAAGGTAAAAATTAATTTATTTATCAAAACTAAAATGATGGACAAGTTACCCAAAAGATACCCACTTTGTACAAGCATCCAACAGACGGTTTAATTGATGTTTAGATTTATTTTTAGGGTTTTGTTTTGTTTCTAGTGAAATAATTATTTTGGAGATTATACACTGCACTTTGAGGGACAAAACAATGGGAAATATGCAGGTAGTTGTTGAAAGTAGGAGATACCCATGCTTTTAGTGGTCAGTTGTCGTGTAGTATCTTTATTTCCCTATGGATTCAACACAGCTGCCAGTTTATAAGTCAACTGCTTTGGCCTCCTCCAGAACAGCATGTATGTACATGCTGGGTCCGCATTAATCCTTTCAACTAGTTCTGTTTCTGTAGGGAACAACCCTTTGTAATTATTTTTCACATATCATAGCTGTTTCCCCTGCATAGGTCCTATTCTTTTGGCTTACTTTTTTTTTTTTTTTTTGAGTATATTTTATTGATTTTTTTACAGAGAGGAAGGGAGAGAGAAAGAAACATCAATCAGCTGCCTCCTGCACACCCCATTATGGGGACTTTTGGCTTACTTTTTCATTGTCTCTAAAATCTCTATAAGGGACATGGCTGCCCTTGGCAAAACCATTTCAATGAATACCTCGTCACAGGATTTCCACTCACTCCATCCCAGGGTGAGCCTGGGAAGAGAGACAAATACTCTTGCATTCAACATTTGACAGAAGAGATGTAAAGAGAGATGCTGTTTCCAAGTCACCACGTTTTCCTATTTCATTGTCCTCTCTCCCAGGAAGTGAATGGAGTTGAGTTGGACTCATGCAGATATAGAAGAGAAAGAATTAAATAAGGACAAGAGAAAGTAGACTTTGTAAACCTTGAAGCTTCAGCATCAGTTTGGATTAGAGCTCCAAAATCAGATTGCATCTCCATAGCTGTGGTACCTCTGCTCTGGAGTGTGGCAAATGTGGATCTGGGGAAAGTTGGGTGAAATTCCTCTTATACAGTGAGACATAGGACACAAAGGAAATGATACACTGGTGTAGGAGAGTGCAAAGTAGAGCTATAGCCTAATATCTACCAGCTTGTTATTTCCTTTTGAATCTGTTAAGAATGTAAACATTGCTACAAAGGATCCATAAGGATGAGAATGAGTCTGAAAAGGGTAGTCTTGTTTGGGACCCAGTCTCCTCCATTGTTGTTGCTGCTGCTGTTGCTGCTGTTGTTGTTGTTAATGCCTGTTAAGAAAAAAGGAAAAGGAGAATTTGAAAAAAATGTGACAAGTGCTTGAAATCTCATCATAGTAACCAATCAATATGTGTTCCCAGAAACTTTACACAGATCCTAGAGACTAGCTCATCAGTCAGTGAGAGCCTGATCACAGCAGGCCGGGTTCTTGAATGGATATATCTAGTCTGATTTTTTAATTAGTTTCTTCCTGGTCTATAAGATTTAAAAAGCAAAAAGGCACTACAGATATGAAGATGTATGCGTCTGGAAATGCCAAGCACTTGTGAAGGTCACAGGTGCTGTCTGCTGTCAATGGACCGTTGCGATCTTGAGCTACTCACCAGACACAGTAGCCGTAGGTACCGTATTTTTCGGACCATAAGACGCTCCGGACCATAAGACGCACCAGTTTTCAGAGAAGGGAAATGAAGAAAAAATGATTCTGAAACAAATAGTGTCCTAAAATATTTTATGTGCATTAAAACCCAACATCACAGTCATAAACACATGTAATCAACCCTGTAAAGTAAACAGCAGCATTTAGAACCATTTTAGAGCCGGGCAAGCACACAGAGACCACACAGAGCCGGGAAAGTAAAAAAACTTTTTTTTTTAAAGTATATGTGTAGGCTATATTTGGACCATAAGACGCAGGGACTTTTTCCCCCCACTTCTGGGGGGAAAAAAGTGCGTCTTATGGTCCGAAAAATACGGTACTTAGACTTCTCCTTTGAATTAGCTCTGAGCCGTTGAGTGTGTAGGAGGCTCAGGATTGCTGCAGGTTGTGTCCTACAAAGGCTCCTGATGTTGCATTGCTGGCTACTCTTTAACCTTGCTGAGTCTGCCATCAACACACAATGGCAGCTGCTGCACACACGGTAAGCTATAGGATGCAATGTATGCTGTGTTGCAAGGTGATTTGGGGTTTGTACAGTTTGGAGTTTATTTCCTCACATAACCATTCAGAGTTCATTACATGTCAAGTACTATGCTTGACATGGGCTTCCAGAGATTACTAAAATTCAATCTCTGCATGTAGAGCTCACAAAACAAGAGGAGAAATGGATAAATTGAACATTCATCACACAATGAGATAAATTAATGGAGGAATGAAAAAGTCTTACTGAATAGGGCTCCCTAATTAAGCTTGCACAGGTCAGAGAATGCCTCCCTGAGAGATGAATACATCTTGAGCTGAGCAGGCATTTGCCAGACGGTGATCCAAAGCACTTAGCCAGAGAGGCAGACAGCGAATATGGCAGATCGAAGAATGGCAAGACAGCTTTTCACATTTGGATTATAGGATGAATGGGGAATAGCAAGTGTTAGAAACATGAAAATTACATTTCAAATAACTAGTATATCATGAAGACAAAAGAGGTGGTGTCCACTTTACAAAAGGAACAGTGTTATTCCCTCAAGGAATTTCAGACTCCTTGCCTGTGAGTTGTGTGCTGCTCCCACCGACACTCAAGTATTCAAAGGATTCAGGCAGCATCATACTCCCAGGCCAGGCAGCCCCTCCCACAGAACCTGCTGGGTAAGGCATGTCCTAGGAGTGCACACTGCCCTCCCCTCTGTGCTCTCGATGCCAGTAGTAACATTTCTGGGATTCAAGTATGGCTGAGAAAAAAGTAGTCACCTTTCTCTCCTTCCCCACTTTCACCGGTTCTCTCTTATTTGAGTCAGGGTTTGCCAGGGCTGACCAGCAAACCTGAGTGACGGATGAATGGATTACCTGACACAACAATGTTTGCTGTGAAAGAGAGGGCTAAGGGACTGCCTTGCTACAAGAACCAGGTGCCTCAATTGCCTGCCTCATTAGGCTTTTATTGTAGCAGCAGTTTGAGATAAAGTTGGTCTTTTAGATACAATCAGCGGTGTAAATAATATTGAGAAGCACATGTGTTTGTAATGTCCTTTAAGCAAGGACATGGAAAAGATTAAGCATAAGGGTTCCAGTACACACCCAGGAGTCTGCTTGTACACAGACTTGTTTGGAAAGGTCACGGAATAATTAGGGGTACCACCTTCAACACTCCCCTAAGTTGGAATTCCAATAAACAGGGCAGGCAGCCTTCCGCATACTTCCTTTTCCTCAGAATGTCCTCCTCACAAACTTTCCAACCAAGTCTCATGCTTCCCCATAAGAGGTAATGAGAAAGGGCCTACTGTTCCTCTAGCCCAGTGGTGGGCAAACTCATTAGTCAATAGAGCCGCAGTTTGCTGACCACTGCTCTAGCCCAAGACTAGCTTAATTCAGTTTGGCAACGTCTTTAGTCAGCATACTATGGGTAGAGCCTATGCCAGGTGTGGAGATACAGAGATAATAGGCCTAGCATTTGTTCGGAAAGGTCTCGCTAGAACACTTAAGTTTCACTACCATTCCCACCTTTTCATGACTTAACAGTGACTTAGCTGAACATTGACCAACAAACTGCTGTTCTGATGGAGGGCCCTAACAGGAAGCAAATCAATAATGAATGTGCATATTAGGTTAGGACTCTGCCAGTTCTTCAAAATGTACACCCTGAGATTGGATTGTTAGTGAGATATAGTCCCTAAAGATTTCAACAAATAAAAGACATTTCAGTGCAGTTTGATGTGTGCTACAAAGAGGGCAGGGTGCTGTGGAAACACATTGGGAAGGACACGTACCTGGGCCTCAGAGAAGCGGGGAAGATCATGGAAGAATCCATGAAGAAAATGATATCTAAACCTACACTGGAAAGACAGGTCGAAGCGAGTCGTACAGAGGACCCAGGCAGGAGAAATCTGTGTGGGTGCCTGACAGTGGCATCACAGCACATTCAGGGAGCTGCCAGCTCAGCGGCTGAAGGGCGTCCTGAGCGGACTGTGAGGAGCTCAGAAGGCCGTGTTTAAAAGTTGAGGTTTTATCTTGGAGCATTGTGAGGCTACCAACGTGTCTTTAATGGGGGGTGAGACCAGATCAGCTGGAACTCTGGTAGGGGTAGCGGGAAGGGAGAACACAGTCTAAGTGGAGAGTTGGGTTTGCATTGTTGAATTTGAGGTGTCTGTGAAATAATAAATTGATCTGTCCAGTAAGTAACTGTTATCAGATCTGAACCTGAGGAGGGAGTCTAGAAATATAGATATGGAGAATCCACAAAAAAGTCATTGGTAACTTCAGCCATGGAGTAGATGATGTCACTCAGTTTATGGAGTGAGTAGAATATGGGGTGGAGGAGCCAGTGGCAGGAGAGGAACAGACAGTGAAGGAGCCTGAACAGTGAGTGCCCAGAGCCAGGACAAAAAGAGAGGGGGAAAGAGAGGGCAGACAGACATGACAGATATCAAGAGATGATAGAATGTTACATGCTGTAAAAAGTTTAAGTAAGATAATCGGAAAGTGCCTCTTGCTTTCAGCAACAAGGATATTATTGTGAAGCAGCTGCAATAAATGCTAGGCATGGCAGTCAGGTGGGTGTGAGTTAAAGACAGAGAACACAGACAACTGCTTTCAAAAGGCTTGACTAGTTTCCTCTCGGATCTTCTCTCGGCTCCCTCCTTTCTGCTGCCCCCCATTATGTGACTTTTTCAAATGACAGATCCTTAGGGTCTATCTCATTTCGGCTGAACCTCCTTTCTTTCCTATTATGATTTTTTTCTAAAAAGTGTGTGGAAACATATCTGGAGGGTCACAGATGTGTTTCTTCCTTTCCCCTGGACAGTTTCTGACACTATCCAAGCTCTTGTCTTGCTTCTGCAGGTTACACGCACTCTTCCTCAGCATTGCCTCATTTCTCCTTCTGGC